AGTGATTCTCCTGCCTCAGCCTCCTGAGTAGCTGGGATTACAGGCACGTGCCACCATGCCCAGCTAATTTTTGTATTTTTGGTAGAGGGGGGTTTCACCATCTTGTCCAGGCTGGTCTCAAACTCCTGACCTCATGATCCACCCACCTCAGCCTCCCAAAGTGCTGGGATTACAGGCATAAGCCACTGAATCTGGCCCAGACTTTTTGTTATTGAATTATAAGAGTTCTTTCTGGATATAAATTCCTTATCAGATACATGATTTGCAAATATTTGCTCCCATTCTGTAGATTGTCTTTTCATTTTCTTGTTAATGTACTTTGATGCATAAAAGCATTAAATTTTGATAAAGTCCAGTTTATCCATGTTTTTTCTTGGTTACTTGTGCTTTTGATGTCATATCTAAGAATGCATTGTCAAATCTAAGGTCATGAAGACTTGCCTCTATGTTTTCTTCTAAGAGTTTTATAGTTTTAGCTTTTACACTTATGTCTGTGAATAATTTTAAGTTAGTTTCTATATATGGTATGAAGTCAAAATTAATTTTTTGCATATGGATATGCAGTTGTCCCAGCACCATCTGTTGAAGAGACTGTTCTTTCCCCATTGAGTGGTCTTTGCACCCTTGTGAAAAATCAGTAGGCCAGGCCAGGTACAGTGGCTCATGCTTGTAATCCCAGTACTTTGGAAGGCCGAGGCGGGCAGATCACCTGAGGTCAGGAGTTTAAGACCAGCCTGGCCAACATAGTAAAACCCCGTCTCTACTAAAAATACAAAAATTAGCCAGGCATGGTAGCTTGTGACTGTAATCCCAGCTACTTGAGAGACTGAGGCTGGAGAATCACTTGAACCCAAAAGGTGGAGGTTGCAGTGAGCCAAGATCATGCCACTGCACTCTAGCCTGGGCGAGAAAGTAAGACTCTGTCTCAAAAAAGAAAAAGAATCTATAGACCATAGACATAGGGGTTTTTTACTGGACTCTCAGTTCTGTTCTATTGGTCTATGTGTCTATGCCAGTACCACACTGTATTGATTGCTGTAGCTTTGTAACAAGTTTTGAAATAGGGAAGTGTGAGTCCTTCAACTTTGTTCTTTTGTAATGTTGAAGTTGTTCTTCATTATTGTTTGTCTATTTGGGGCCCCTTGCAATGAATTTGAAGATCAAATTTTCCATTTCTGCAAAAAAGCCTGTTGGGAGTTTGATAGGGATTGCATTGAATTGCTATATCACTTTGGGTAATATTGCCATCTTGACAATTTACGTATTTCAATCCATGGTGTCTTTCCATTTATTTATATCTTTAATTTTTTTCAGCAACGTTTTGTAGTTTTTAGTGGACAAGTCTTTCATTACCTTGGTTAAATTTATTCTTAAACAATTTATTCTTTTGGTTGATATTATAAAAGGAATTATTTTCTTAATTCCTTTTTTGATTGCTTATTATTTGTGTGTTGATCTTATACTCTGGAGCCTTGATGAATATACTTGTTAGCTCTAGTAGTTTGTGTGTGTGTGTGTGTGTGTGTGTGTGTGTGTGTGTTACTCTTTGGAATATTCTATATACCAGATCATGTTATCTGTGAAAATAGTTTTATTTCCTCCTTTCTGATTTGGATGTCTTTTGTTTCTTTTTCTTGCTCAATTGCTCTGGCTAGAAGTTCTACCACAATATTGAATAGCAGTGTGAAAGTAGGCATGTTTATCTTGTTCCTCCTCATAGGGGGAAAGCTTTCAGTCTTTCATCACTGATTTTAATGTTAGTTTTAGGTTTTTCATAAAAGTCTTTTATCATGTTGAGGAAACTTCCTTCAATTCTTAGTTTTCTGAGTGTTTTTATCATGAAAAGGTGTTGGATGTTGTCAGTTGCTTTTTTTTTTTTTTTTTTTCTGATTGTGTAGGGTTTTTTCCTCTTGTTCTATTAATATATATTACATCAATTAATGTGGTGTGATGTATTGATTAATTTTCTTATATTGAACCAACCGTGCATTTCTGGAATAAATCCCTCTTGGCCTTGGTATATAATCCCTTTAAAATGCTGTTGTATTTGGTTTGCTGGAATTATGTTGAGAATTTGTGCATCCATTTCATAAGCGATATTGGTCTGTAATTTTCTTTTCTTGTACTGTAATGTTTTTGCCTGGCTTTGGTATCAGGGTAATACTGATCTCATAGAGTGGGTTAGGAATTGCTTCCTTTTATTCTATTTTTTGGAAGAGTTTCAGAAAGATTGGTGTTAATTCTAATTTAAATGTTTAATGGAGTTCACCACTGAAGCCATTTGGTCTTGGACTTTTCTTTGTTAGGAGGTTTTTGGTGACTGATCTAATCTCTTCACTTGTTCTAGATCTCTTAAGATTTTTTATTTCTTCTTGAGTCTGTTTTGGTAATTTGTGAGTTTCTAAGAATTTGTTCATCTTCTCTAAGTTATCTAATTTGTTGGTGTACAATTGTTCATAGTATTCTCTCATAACCCTTTTATATTTCTTTAAGGTTGATGGTAATGTCCCCATTTTAGTTTCTGATTTTAGTTATTTTCATTTTCTCTCTTTTTTTTTTCCTAGTCAGTCTAGTTTAAAGGTTTATTAATTTTGTTGATCTTCTCAAATAACCAACTTTTGGTTTTGTTGATTTTCTCTTTTGCTTTTCTATTTCTCTCTATTGTTTTTCTATTCTTTATTTCATTTATGTCCACTCTAATTCTTATTTTCTTTGTGAAAATGTTGTTAGTTTATTGATTTGAGATCCTTCTTTTTTAATGTATGCTTTTACAGCTACAAATTTCTCTCTGAACACTGCTTTTGCTGTAATCCCATACGTTTTGGTATGTTGTGTTTTCATTTTTATTCATCTCAAAGTATTTTCTAATTTCCCTTGTGATCTGTCTTTATTATTTTTTTTACCCATGGGCTTTTTTTAAGAGTATGTTGTGTAATTTCTACATATTTATGAATTTTCCAGTTTTGCTTCTGTTATTGATTTCTAGTTTCATTCCATTGTGGTCAAAGAAGATACTTTGCATGATTTCAGTCTTTTTAAATTTGATGAGGTTTATTTTATGGCCTAACATCTGGTCTATCCTGGAGAATGTTCCATGTGTCCTTGAGAACAATGTATAGTCTGCTTTTGTTAGGTAGAGTGTTTAGTAGATATCTGTTAAGTCTAGTTGTGTGTGGTCTCTGAAATCTCTGTTGCTTTAGCTTGTGTTAAGTTAGTGTTTTGACGGAGATTTCCTTGAACACCAGAAGCGATTTTTTTAAAAAAGAAAAGAAAAAAAAATATTTGCAGATTGGCTATGTGTTGGAGCCGTCCTTCAACTCCTTGGGCCATTTACAAATCTTAGTCTTTACTTCCCGCTTGCACTGAACCATTGTTCAGTTTCCTTTTCCTTCATTCACTGTTTGTTTGGTTACTATAAACTTTGAGTATTTTCCAGAGTTCTGACAAAGGTGATTCTGACAGAGTTTTTTGTCTTTTTTTTTTTGCTTGATATTCAATGTTTTTGTGGAGGAATGGGACCTTAGAGCTGCCTAAATGACCATTTTCTCTGATATCACCCCAATACTCTCATTCTCAGGTTAGGACCCTAAAGGGCATACCTAGGAGTAAGAGTGTACCGGAAGACTGACTTTTCAGGGATCAAATCATGTAATTTCTGAGACTGAATTGAGATAATCTTAGATAGCTAATGCTCCTAACCACCTGCCAAAAGCAAATTAAGTCCTCTCTGGAAGACAATAGGCCTGAGATTAATTGTTCAGTTTTTCTTTTCTTTTATTTTTTTTTGAGATAGAGTCTCATCCTGTTGCCCAGGCTG